CTTGAGCCGGTGAGATTAGAACCGCTGAACTGCAGATAACAGTCAGCTGAAGTGGCGTGCAGTACTGCACCCTAACCACTGCGCCACCTCGGCTCCTGTTTTGGACTTGGCTTGGTCTAGGATGGTTATAGTTTTTCAGCTGAAATTATAGTTAAGTCTGTCCACTTCTTGTGAAATTTTGAAGGTTTTGTAAGCCTGACCTTATGATAAGAGTAGCCTGTAACAAGGAAAATCACCTACAATAGAACTGCTTTCTCAAACATTGGCCAAAATTGACATCACCCAATGGCCCAGCATGTTGAAATTCTCTTGCCTTGTGCTTTGCTGTGCCAAGTACATTCAAGGGACTTGATTGCTCATTAGGTGAAGGAAGTAACAGAACGAAACCCCAGTTCGATTTGGAAATCATACCAAAGTAATCTTAGCTCTGTTTTCCAGATAAAAAGTCCTTAATGTTTGAGTCACGCAGAGGAATGACTCAGAAATTCGGGCAGTTTCGGTTTTATGTTTCTGAAAACCCGAAATATAAAATCGACGCTGCTGATTCCACTCATTCATTGAGGTTATTCCCAACTACTTTGCATCCTTGTCTCCTCCTAAATCAGTTGAAGTCCAAACATCTTCAAGATTGGGAAACACTGTCTTAAATATTTGGAAGATGGCCACCAAAAGGTGTTGCTTCTCCATCTCTCAAAGATTAAAAAAACCAAACATAGCAGAGGTGGGTTGTTCCTGGTTTGACCCAGATTGGGCGAACCGGTAATGGCGGTGGTAGGAGGCTCCGCCCACCTGCCTGGACGCTTCTGCGCATACGCACAAGCGAACCAGTAGTAACAAAATGGAAACCCACCACTGAAACAGTACAACAAGGGAAAATAGACCACTATTGCACAAATGGACAACTAAGGACTTTAGCCCAACCTCAAAGGGGCTTTTTCAAAAGGCAACTGGCCTTTTTTGTTTTTTTCTTGAAAACATTTTCCTTCAAGAAAAACAAGAAAATCCAGTCACCTTTTGACAAAAAAAAAAGCACTTTTGGGACCACCAAGGCCTGGATGGCTGAGCATGTCCATAGATAATTGTCCTTGAATCCATCATTTGTAAACAGGCCCTCTTGTATGAAACTATTGCAGTGCTTAGGGAGGGGAAAAGTGGGGGGCTCATTCCCTCTTCCCCAGCCTGAAAAATTCTGCTTCATTGGAAACAAAACATCTGGGAGAACCTGTTGTGGTTTACTCCCTGCAAAGATTCTTCTAGAAAAATTGGGATTTTCCATCTACATTAAACGAACAAAGTAACCAACCATCCGAAGGAAGGAATCTTCAAAACCACAAATGGAGAAGGATCCTTTCACAGAAAAAAAGAATTGGAAGGGACCTTGGAGGTCTTCTAGTCCAACCCCCTGCCTAGGCAGGAAACCCTATNTCCTGCAAACTCCACTCCCCTTTCCTCTTTTATGCCCTATGGGAGGGGCCATTCACCATCCACCTATGGCTTTACTCCCAAGTCAACCCTTGTTCCTTAACTGTTCCCTTCGTCTGGCAACTCTGTCCATGCACACACTGGGAACAGGTTCCAGCTGTTCGTCTGCCTCACTGATGTCTGACTCCGAAGGCAGCTGATAACTGTCAGACGGCCCTGGCCTTTCTGCCTCCGACATAGAGCCCTTTCCGAGCCTTCCCCAGACTCCAGGACTGGCCCTTGTTCCTCCCCAACATCCTCACTGTCCGAATTGGGCCACAACAGTTACAGCATCTCCATGGTCATGTGATCAAAATTCAGAGGCATGGCATCTGACTCATATTTATGACGGTTGCCGAGTCCCTGGGTCTTGTGGATTACTTTTTGTAACTTCTGGCAAGCAAAGTCAAGCCAGATTCATTTGACAACTGTGTTTTAACTTAACAACTGCAGTGATTCACTAAACAACTGTGGCAAGAAAGGTGGTAATATGCGGAAAAACTCACTTAACAAATATTAGCATTGAGCAGCAGAAATTTTGGGCTCAATTGTGGTTGTAAATCAAGGACTACCTGTGTCTTTTTACCAGTATTTGCATGCCTTAATATTTCTCCAGCCATTTTCCTATTTTAAGTAAACAGATTCATCTATTCATTGCTGTTTTAAATGTCGCTATCAAATGTTCCAAGGACACAGGATTAGCGGTACTGTGTTTTCATTTCCCTGCCCGATGTGTTTCTAATGTCACCCCAAACATTCTTGATAACTGCATTAAAGAAGCAAGGGAATATCGGTTTTGTCTTACCCTCTGCTCAGTGTTGAACCAAATATGCTATTTATCCCCTCACTGGGTTTCCTTCCATCATATTCCCCCCCCCAATCTCATTCATCCGTCAACTTTGTGTCTCCATAAAACATTTAATCATCTAGGCTTATTCATTTTATTATACACTTTGTAGCAACAAATATACCGTTTTATTTCCTGTCTCATTCATACATGGTCTCTCTATCTCCTGCCTAGCTAAAGACCAGACTTCCCAGATGTTGCTTGTCACCTGTAGTATTCCTTTAGTAAAAATTCTCTCAAACAAAATTCTTCCCAGGATAGTGTAACAAAATAATTGCAAACATTTGTTGAACAACATTCATGGAAAAATCTCTTTATGGTTCTTAAATTCATAGCATCCAATCTTCCCCAATTTGATATTCTTCAAACACTTTGGGATGGCAACCCCTACAATTTGCCAACCAACTTGAGGAAAAGCTGCCTTAGAATTTCTAATGCTTTGTGACAACTCGGCTAAAATCTTCCTTGAAGTGCATCTAGGAATAATTGTCCTTGTGAGAGAATAAAGCAGTGGCTCTTTTGGTAATAAACCCTGATCTCTTGAAAGTTAGTAATCCAATTCCCTCTCATTAATAATGTAGAACAATTGGCATGCTTCTCTATGTATGGGTAGAAATGCAATTGCACAAATACATAGTTTTCTGCAACTTGCAAGCCTATCACACACCAAAGCTGCAGCTAATAAGTATTCTTATCATGGCCACCTAATGTGCGTAATAGAACACCATGTATCGCAATAGGCCAATGTATAGGAATTTGGAAACTGAGAGTAGTTCAGTTTGAGGTCAGGTGCTTTTATGATTAAAAAAAAAAGGGCACAGCTTTTTAGATAAGATATATAAATAGGCTTTCAAGCAAAATGGAAAGTAAGAAAGAGTAAATTGTTGATAACTTTGTGGATACACAGGACACAGCCGAACATCTACGGGTAATAATTAAGGGAAGGAAAAGAATTATGAAATTCAAAATGACTGTTCAGTCAGAAGTTGTACTGTAATTTCAAAAGAGGAAATTTCTCAGAACTTCAGAGTGCAGGCACCAATGTCAAACCTCCACATTGCTGAGTGATTATTTTAAAAGCACTAAATAGTCACCTTAAGTGCAGGTTTTTTGATTAGAAAAAGTTCACACCAAATTAGAAGGATTCCAAGGTGATAAAAGGTTTTTTTTAAGAAAAACCCTGCTCATTAAAAATGAGTCTTTTCCACACATAAGAATTTAGGAGCGATAAATCCATGGGGTACAAAGATGTTCCTGGAACCTGTCTTTGCAACCAAAGCTCACGCTGGCATATCAGAGATTTTAGAGAATGTTTGGCCAAGGAGTCTTCCTGAAAAAGCATCTTCGGAAGTACATGTATTCCTCAACACTGTTCATTTGGTGACTGTTCAAAGTTATAACAGCACTGAAAAAAAGTGATTCATAAGCAGTCCTCGCACTTATGACTGTTGCAGCATTCCCCACAGTCCCAAGGTCAACATTCTGGCACTTGGCAACTGGCATGTAGCTTATGTACAATAGTTGTGGTGTCCCGGGGTCACGTCATCACCATTTGGGATGTTCCCATGTGGCTTCCGACAAGCAAAACCAATGGGGGGAAGCTGAATTCACTTAATGATCATGTGAATCAATTAACGCTGATGATTTAGAACAGAGAACGTAAAATAATAGAATTGGAAGGGACCTTGGAGGTCTTTTGGTCCAAGCCCCTGCTCGGGTAGGCCAATCCTATATCCATGATGGCGAACCTATGGCACGCATGCCAAAGGTGGCACGCAGAGCCCTCTCTGTGGGCATGTGTGCGATCGGCAGCTGGTCTTCTGGATTCTGGTATGCCAGCCAGCTGGTCTTCGTGGGCTCTGGAGCACCGGAAAACTGCTTGAAAAATGGCTTGAAAAAATGGCATTTTCGGGACATTTTCAGGCTGTTTTGGGGGCGTTTTGGGGGCATTTTTCAGGCCAAAAACGCCCCCAAAATAAGTATGCGCACACTGGCCAACTGGTCAGGTTTCCAGCGCTCCAGCACGCAGACATGAATGTGCATACACATACATTCCGGTTTGTGCACTGAGTGCCAAAAAGTTTCGCCATAACTGCCCTATATCATTTCAGATATATGGTTAAATAAACATGATTAGATAACTGGACAAATTTGCTTAATAACGGTGGCCAGGAAAAAAGCTCATAAAATTGGGCATGGCTCATTTAACAACCACCTTGTTTAGCAATTGTGGTCCCACGTGTGGTCATAAGTCGAGTACTACCTGTATGAAAAGATGAAAAGAAAATGGGTCTACTCTATTTTTTCAGAAGGAAGCGATTACTTGCACCGACACCTATAAAAATCAGTTGCACAAAAAGTCTTCTGGCGGTGGAGGAAATAGCACTGCTTCTTCAACATTTTGTTGGGGCAAATCTGGTGGTATGGAACCCTGGATCTCTACATGTTGTTCCATGGGACGGGATTCAGGGATAAAAACATCCCCATTGACTCCGCTGGGCCAGCTGGCTGAAGGAGGAGAATCTTGTAACCTTGGACTCTCCGGCTGGAGCGAAATGTCAGTTAAGTTGTTTGGTTCCTCGGAAATTTGGGTTTGGCTGCTGGCTGAGGAATCCAAGGTTGCCGTGGCAGTGTGGCTTGACTCGCTCTCTGTACTTGCCTCACCCGATCCCTGTGGAACCTCCAAGGTCTTCCTGGATTCAGACAGTTGCCCTTCTGCATTGTCCAGCAGCTGTGTGTCCTTGTTAAATTTCCATGGCAGAGAGAGAACGGACATCCGTTTTATGCCTTGCAGCGGTTCCTTATCTACCGTGATGTCAGGCACGTCTCCATCGGCAAACGGGGAGCGCCCTGCCCAGTGGGGAAGAGACACACTTGACCTTTTCCGTTGCCTCCAAAGGAAGATGGCAATGATAATCACAATCATGAGCAACAAGATTACTCCAATGGCCACAGCGGCTATTAAATGTTCATTTGCAAGCTTAGGTTCTTTTGTTGGGGTAGTAAGCTGGGGTTCGCTGGATGGCCTTTGCTGTACATTTTTGGTAGGGTCTTTTGTTTGACTTCCTTGAGACGGGAAGCTTTGGGGTTCAGCATTGAGCGACATGCCCGCAGGCCCCTTTCCAGCGGTGTGGTTCCACCACAGTTGTCCATAGATGAAAATTAGAACGAGGGCCTTGATCGCCATTGTCAAAATTGTGGGGATCTCTTTCGTGGCATGAAGAAGATAAAAGGTAGAGATTAATAACAGCACCACATTTTGCCTCTTGAAGGCCTAGCAACAACAAACATTTATAAACCAATCAGTGTACTAGGTCAGGGGTCCCCAAGCTTTTGGGCACTAGGGACTGGTTCCGTGGAGAGAGGTTTTTCTGCGGACAGGAAGGGGTGTGGTTTCATGTGCTGCCTGCATCCCATGGATGGGATTTTGCTTGTTTGCACAGCTTGGTTTCTGGCATGCCACAGCCCAATGCCAGTCCAGGGATATGGGGTTGGTAACAGGTGGGATTCAGCCTGTTCGGACCAGTTCGCGTGAACTGGTAGTTCCAACAATCGGTTGGCCCCACCCCTGTGCTAGTCTGCCTTATATTTCCTTTGTTTGAAGTCCAGCTAATAGCTGCAGCACAGCCGATTGCCACACCTCAGCTGTTTTACTCACCGAGGCTGCAGTAGTTTTTACTCAAAGGGGCTACAGTAGTTTTAGAGCTGTTTTCAAATACACTGAACACATTCAACGCTGGTTGAATCCCACCATTGGTTGGGAACCCCTGTACTAGGTGATACAGTGGTATCTTGGTATTTGTCAATTGCTTCCAGGAGGTACAATGAGTACCAAAAACTATGAGTAACAGACACATTTGTCCCCTAAGGAATAATGTAAATGAATTTAATACGTTCCCAAACCAAAGACAATGCACATTTTAAGGCAATGCGTAAAAAGATGGGGTTGTCATTACTTTGCATGTGAAATAAACCTAAAAATTAATAAATACTTGGATTAAATAAAGTAAAAATGTCACTTTATTTGTACTGTTTAAAAAAAATGCATTAAAATACATAAAATGAGCAAAAGCAAAGATAGGGAATGTGCAAAGGGCAAGAGCTACTGCGTCATCATTTTTTTCCGCCCGGAAAGGGTAGCGAATCATAAGGCAACGACACAAGTTCTAGTTTGCGCGTTGAGCACCAAACAAATGACAAGTATCAGGACAAAATTTTCACATCAAAATGTGTTCAGTACCAAATTTGAGGAGTTTCAAAGCGGTTGAGTACCAAGGTACCACTGCAGATGATAGAATAGCCAGAATTTTATAAATTTCTGAGAAAATGTTTAGCTTCAACTTATTTGCTGCTTTTAAGGCTGTCTTTTTTAAAAATGTATTTCAGTGTACAACACATTTATTTATGAACACCTTTTTTTAGCCATCTTTCATCCTGGGGAACAAAACAATAAAACAAAATGTGCAGTACAAATATAAGTTAAGGAGACTATGTCCTTAAATGTACAAAGTTTATTTTTTGTACATTTATTTTTTCAGGGGAGGGCTTATTTTAGTGCATGTGCTCAAAAGCCCAATTGGGCTTATTATCCAGGGAGGGCTTATTTGGGGGGAAACTGTAATTTTAATGGATCCAAAAGTACAGCTATTAGTGAAAGGCAGATTTATACTGAAATCATAATTGTTTTTTTTTTTAAAGAAAAACCTGAAGAAATAAAATTGCATATATTGTTAAGAATTTTAAGGGTCTCTTGCTTGAGCTAGGGGGTTGGTCTAGAAGACCTCCAAGATCCCTTCCAACTTTCTTATTCTACAAATAAACGGACATAGGCCCCATCTTGTACTTGTTCAGTAAAAGAACAAAAAGACACTGATCTTTTGAGAGGCAATTTGATCTAGTGGTGAGAGTGCTGGTCTAGAAACTAGGAGATTGTGAGTTCTAGTCCCACTTTAGGCATGAAAATTGGGTCCCCCCCCCCCTTCATGAGGTGCAAAATAAGTATAAGAATAGAGCAGGACTTTTACGGAGAGTCATTTTTTCTTGCATTGGGGGTAATTTGCCATTTACAGCAAACAGGTGCAAATATATGAAACAATTAGTGCCTCACATTAGAGCTTGATTAGTGAGCCATATATACCTGAAGAAGCCTGGGTCTTTTCCCCCTTCAATTTGCCTGCTTATCAAAACAACCAATCCTGGCATTCCCAAAAACTGAACTTGGGACACCCTTCTGAATAAACATGTATAAACTTCTGCCATAAATGGTGTGGCTTGCAGTTAAAGGAGCACTGCTTATAGAAACTATTGAATTTCTGCTTAGTCTCATTTTAAAAATTAAAATTGCATTTGTAACCCGCTCTGCAGAACAAGGCGAAATTTGAAGGGCAATGGCTGACTTTGAAAATTGCGAGTTTCTTACTATGCAATGTTGTGCTCCTATTTGCACTGAACATTACATGCAAACTAATCTAATCGTAGACCTAATTCTCTAATTTGGATCCTAGCATTAGAATTTAACCAAGTGAAAGTCCCAGTCGCAAAACAGACCTCAGTATGAAATTTTGAGAAAGTAACTTATTTTAATACATTTTACATAATGGCAGGAAGCACATGGCAATTAAACTGCTATTCGGAGGAGTAAAGAGTGAAGATCGTTTGAGATCCAACCTATTCCTAATTTTTTTCCATATTAGTTTGTTGCCATTTCTTGTTTGTTTTGAAGATTTTTTAAAACAAAAGTAGTATAATTAAGTCTGTCTTACCTTTGGGATTTCTCCTGCACTACTCAATCTCTTGTTTATAGCATAAGTTTTAATGTTACACGATCAGGGAAGTGAGAATGCAGCAAAAACACTTTAAATGGCATGGTGGTTTGCATATTGCAAAAGGATCTTGTTCTGACATAAAGAGGAAGTTTTATCAGTGGACAATGCCGGAAGCCCCTCAAATTAAGAAATATTCAAAGATGTCAGTATAGCTGCTTCCAACAGACAAAGGCGAGAACGCCAAAACTCCTGCCAAAAAGTTAACAACAGCAGGAGGAATCAAGAGGCTATTAACAAAGTTGCGTGAAAAATATTGGCATAACTATACATTATGTGTTTCTACTATTTTTTTCTTTTAAAATATAGGTTTTTATGAGAATATCATTCATCCCTCACAGCTTTCTCTCAGGAGTCTTAATAAAGGCTAGGGTGTATGTGTGTGAATGTTCCTGTATTGATCTGGTTTTGGCAATCACAGTTCTATGGGGTTATTTTCTTGCATTACCAATCTAGGTAACATCATCAGTGCTAGAAGGGAGAGGGATTTGCTCTCATTGTATATAGTAGTGGCTTGCTCTGTCAGTGTTGATGGGGGTGGTCTTGGTTTCTTGATTAATCTGTTATTTGCTTGTTGGCACTTCCTTGACTGAAGTATTGTTCACTGTTGGTTTTGTATTAATCTTGATGTTAATCTCTGCTTACCTGGGTGTTGATTGCTGGCCAGGAGATGTAGTGGTCTTTTAGCTTTTTGATTGCCTCTTTTGAATAGTATGTAGATGTTGTTCATCTCTATATATCCGCTGATGGCCAATTTGTCTAAGGCTTTCAGAACTTCTCTAGCACTTTTCCCAGTTCTACTCTGTAAGGTCAAACATGCGTGAGCTTTTTGCATGAGCCTGCAGGACCTATTACTTCTCCTTTTATATAAGTTGGAGAAGCTAGAAAATCGCAATTAAATATAGATTCCGGTTGTATAAGAACAAGGAACCATGGTAAATGATTTCTGAAAAAGAGTAACTTAACTTGTTTGGAAGCTGTACATCATAGATTAGCTTTGGACATTATAGCTTTGGATATTATTACTACATCCTCCTGGATTTGTTACTTTCTCATGAGAACCGTGAAGCGTAGAAACTGTGCATCAGCATTTAAAGAGCACACATATCTTTGCTTATTAAGTCAGGATTTAATCAATTATGAGTAATAGCTTCAGCCATGCTTTACACTTTCCTAATTATAGTTTCAAAGGGCTAGATCCAATACTAATGCATCTAAATCCTTATTGTTTCTTTTTTCTTTTTTTGCTACAATTTCCTGAAGAAGCCATACTGGTCTGATTAGAGATAATAATACAAAGCCATAATGGGTAGATTATCATACCAAACCAAAAGATGAAATCAACCACTTTGTGGCTTAGTGTCATGGCAACCATGAGCAAAACCCAGTGTGGCATTGCAGGGAGCTAGACTGGTGAGGGAACCAAAATTCAAACATCGGCTCAGCTTTGACAATCTTTGTGTGATCTTGTATCTATGACCTTGAGGTTGTCATGAGTAATAAGACTGAGCAGGTTGGAGCATATAACTCAAGTTCTTGAAGGATGCACAATACACAGTTACCAAAGCAAGCCAGAATTAATTAGCACTGAAAAGAGTAAAACTATAAAGGAACTGAAGGAATTCATGTTGGAAAGAAAAGGAGGGGAATACACAATCCACACATTTGCTGAGCTATAATTAAAACAGTGTTTCTCACTATATCAATCCTAAAGAAAACAAGCACCTTCCAAAGGACAGATACTGTAGCTGAAGCTCAGATACTTTGACTATCAAATGAGAAAGAGGAACTCTTGTCAGTGTTGGGAAAGATGAATGGCAAAATAGGTGGTACCTTGCTCAACAGTAGTAACTGTGAAAGGGATCTTGGAGTCCTAGTGGACAACCATTTAAAGATGAGCCAGCCGTGTGCAGCAGCTGCCAAAAAAGCCAACACTGTTCTAGGCTACATAAACAGAGGGATAGAATCAAGATCACGTGAAGTGTTAATACCACTTTATAATGCCCTGGTAAGGCCACACTTGGAATACTGCATTCAGTTTTGGTCACCATGATATTAAAAATAAAATGTTAAAACAGTTTCCGCCAGAGATTGTAGGTGCTCCCTTATTGGAGATT